GCAATCTGGAGATTGGGGAAGAGAAAAGTCCTTCAAATTTGTTTTTATCACAAATCTCTTGGTTTAAAGTTCTGGGGAATTTCAGTCCCTGGGGCCAAGGACAATATATAAAGACTGAGACTCTTACATCATGGGCCAAGCTGATGGTGGCTTGCTAACAATTCAGAATCTGGATTCTCCCACACTTCAACATGTGTGGCAACTGGGTGGAAATGAGTCAGGATCATTTTGGAAGGTAAATCCTAGGCAATGCTCCAGTATTTCTGTGAATCAATAGTTTTGAAGATTTTTTTTTACTCCATTAAGTATCCAATAAATTTTGTGTCTCCGGACACCTTGAAGAATACTTTTAATTATGTATTAAATCAAAAGTATTGATTATGGTTTGACTCATTTGCATATTATTGTTCTTCAAACTGTAGCTCTGGGCCAAGCATTCTGATTGGTATACACATAGTGCCCCCTTTCTCAAAGATGATATGAGTAATTTTCTATTTTTTAAAAAAAATTTTCTGTAGGGACCTAGCAAACTACACAAAGTGACCAATCCAGGAAAATGAAATGAAATAGTTTATCAGCAGAACTATCAGAATTACAGTAAGGAAAGAGAAAACAATGGGAAGTTAGAAATTGGAATGGATTCATGACAATTCAAGCATCAGACTAAAGGTGAAAAATTATTCCTGTTTTTGCATTATCCTGTCTGAAATTGTAATGTCATTTCTGTTTTCATTATATAGTAAGGAGACAGACTGCCAGCTAACGATAAGCACAAACATCCAGTTTGAACTCAGGAGACTATCTTAGTTTGAGACTAAGGTGGCAACCAATGGAAGGAGTAGCCCATTGAGGTTGTGGTTTGACTTTTCAGAGGAGATTTGCAGGGAAATGATACCTAGTTTGGTAGCACATTTTAAAGAAGAAATCAAACATTAGAATTGAGGTTTTGATAGAAGTTAACAAAGTATTAAGTAAGAAAAAGGTGACTCACATGTTAAGCAATACATGAGGAAACAGATTCGGTGGAAAAATAATATCATTACAATCATCACTAGCAGGAACATTGTTTCCTACCTTTCTATAAAGGAGAGAGAGAGTGAGAGAGAGAGAGAAAGAAATAATTTCAAGACCATGAAGTATGTATAATCGGAATTCTATATTATATTACCTTTACTTGTTACAAGCTCTTATTTGCAATGATTGTTACAATAATGGGGATAGTTGCTGAGTAAATTATTTACATAGTGTTTTAAATATTTGAACTATTTTTAATCAATCTGGAAACTTTGAATATTTGTTGCTTAAATGAATATCCTGTTTTTTGACAAGAAAACAGTATATAAAAGAGTTGGAATAATTACTGGGTCCCCCTGATTAAGGGAGTAGCTCTTCTATTTGTATGATAATTAAGATAATTAAGAGTTCATTCTTGACAGAGCTGGCAATTGATGTATGCATTAGCAGGGCCCTCACCAATGATGCTATGATCTTAGAAAATTTACTACCTGACAAAAATCACATAGACCTGTGAGAGCTATGTATATGTCAAAATTAAATTTGTGTAAGTGTTCTCATTATTTCTATGGCCTAGCATGAGACAATTTCTTTGTCCTTACAGAATTTAAAGCAAGCATGTTTAAAGTTTACATTGTTTACATAGATTCTACCCTGAGATGCTTGACACATTGAAATCACTTACCTAATGACATCACAGATTTATTATACATTTTAAAAGCAAGAACTGTATTAAGTGACTAAGATTTTAAATGTCTCGTCAGGTGATGTATGCCTTATGTTAATAATATATTGCGTCTAGTACTTGTTAAGAATTTGTCTTTAGGCTATTTATTTAATATATCTGTGACACTCAAGCTAGTTATAGTGATATTTATTGTTTAGAGTTATTGCAATGGTTTAGAAAGTTAATTCCTCTTGGCTTTGAACGTGGTTTAATGGTAGAGTAGCATGCATGAAATTCCTCAGTGCCACATAAACATAAAGCCAGAAGTGGTGTTTGGGCTCAAGTGGTAGAATGCTAGCTTTGAGAACAGAGACAAAACCCAAGTATTGAGTTCAAGCCCCAGAAGTGGAAAGAAAAAAAAGTTAATTCCTACTCAGAATTTATAGCTCAAGGCAATGCTCCAATTCTAAGGAAATAAAACAATTATTAGATTTATTGATGGTTATTGTTAAGAGCTGACTGAGGTCATCCATTTCTTTATCTCAAAGCTATAATTTTACAGATTGAAACCTGGAATGAATAATTACAAGTAATAAAAGTTGACTATAAAATAAGTCACAACCTCTTCTTCCCATCTTTTGTTTCTGTACAGGGGCCACTGTGGCTGCTCTAGTGTCACTAGACAATGACCCATGAGATTGTGTATGTTTTACTCAAGAATGTAAGCTATAAGTTAATCTTTACATATATGTATGATACAGAACTGGTGTAGAAGGCCATTTTTATTTATTGTCTATGTTTTTATTAGTTTGAGTTTAACTTCACTGGTCATTCCACTATGCCAATTACCTACTGGCTTAAATAATGAAAAGGCAGTAACTTTGGTGGCTCTTCGTTTTCTCAAAGAATAAGACAATCATGAATAAAATTAAGAAATTCTTTTCATTCAATGTATTCTGTTAGTATGTTTCTAAACCTGTTATGTATGTTCTCAGGCTGTGTGCTTAAGAAAATTTTAATTTAATTTCTGATTTTGTAAATGGTAGTTTAATGGTCTCACTATATTTCATTAGGAAAGTTTCATTAAACATTTCTAAAGAGCTTGGCATTGATCAAGATACATTGTACTCATAAACTGACATGTTGAATTTCAACCCCTTTGCCCAACTACTTAAAGATAATAAAAGTTTGAAGAAGTGTTATTATGCACATATGCACATCAAATAGAATTGAACCTAAAGGTCTACTTGTATATGTTCTTTTCAGAGTTCTCCAGTTTTTCTCTTTAAAAATTATATTTTATGGACTTTAAGTAATTGTACAAAGGGTTTTTTCCATCTATCTTTAAAGATGAAACTTAGAAATATATAGGGAGAAATTATTCATCACATTCAGTCTGTTGAAAGAAATGAAATGAGTTCATCCTTTTTTCTCCATTTTTAAAATAAGTTTTTCATTGTGAGAATACTGTACAGAGGGGTTACAGTTACATGAGCAAGGTAATGAGTACATTTCTTATCAAGCATTGTTGCCTCCTCCTTTGTTTCTCTCCTACCATCCCTTCCCTACCATCTCCACAACCACACTCCCTGCCTCCCCGTATAAAGTTCATTTTTTGACATAGCGTCTTGTACATCTCATTCTTGCAATGAGTCAACCTGTATCCCTATTTACACAATTGTTTTTTCCCTTCCCCTCCCCAAATTATACCAACATCAAATACAAAACAAGACCATACTAAAGCTACCAGCACAACCATGTTTATTGCAGCATTATTTACCATTGCTAAGATAAGAAACCAACCCAGATGGCCCTCAGTAGATGAATAGGTCAAGAAAATGTGATATATATACACTATAGAATTCTATGCCTCCACCAGAAAGAATGACATTGCCCCATTTGTTAAGAAATGGAAAGACGTGGAAAACATTAAATTAAGTGAAGTAAGCCAGGCCCAAAGAAACATAGGTCCCATGTTTTCCCTTATTTGCAATAACTAGTGTATGTCTGAGACAAGAAGAAAAGGTCAGATAAGATTATATTAAGTGACATGTACCCCAAGATATGGACACACATCTTTTTTTTCTCTCTTGCTATTGTTTCTAATGTATTTATAAGTTCGTCCTTAAAACCAATAATTGAGTCATGTACAGAAATCAATCTTCTCCTCAAACTCAAAAAGGAGGCCAGAAGGATAGGGATAGAAGACTGAAGGGGACAGGGGAGAGAATGCAGGCAAGAATGCTTGGTATATAACCAAAAAATTGAGAAATATAAGGGAAATGGTGAGTTGAATGGGGTGAGGCTGTTGAAGTGGTATCAGATCAAGAGGTATTATATACACAAAAAATTAGGTTAGGAGGGGTGCAAATGTTGAAAGGGGCTACACTGGTCAAGATGCACTGTACATTCACAAACTGATTTAACAAATGGCACTCTTTTGCACAACTATTTAAAGATAATAAAAATATTCAATATAAAAAGGAACATAAGGCTAGACACAGCAAAATGGTTATAACAAAAAAAACACCACCATAAAGCTAGAAACATACTTGGAAGCTTCTATGTGGTGACATAGGAACATAGGAAGAAACTTTCAAATAATTTATTCTTTGCAAAATTCACTTCTATTCCCAAATTAAGACTACTCATGAATAGTGACAAAAGGCATGAACTAGGAGTTATTTATTGGCAAAATAAAGTTTAGTATTTTATTAAAGAAAGTATTCATTTGCAGAATATCATTTCTTGACATCAGAAAAAAAGCCATCCAGGTAAAACTACCATCTCCTTTATGCTATTTGTACTTACAGGGTTATTGCTTGGTTCATTGAAACATCTAGTTGCATTTGAAATACCTACAGAAACCACTAATGTTTGTAAAATATTTGTACTTTGAGTTGGGTGTAATGGCTCATGAGTTTAATCGCAGATACAGTGAGGTGGCAATCAAGAAGATGGTGGTTCAAGGTCTTCTTGTGCAAAATGTTAGTGAGACTTTATCTGATCCAACAACAGGAGCCACAGCTACGCTGGAGGCAATAGGTAGAAGGAGAATCCCAATTCATGACTAGCCCTGAGCTAAAAGTCAGGACAAACTAGGACCCAGTAAAGCCACCAGTACAACCATATTCATTGCAGAACTATTTAACCATAGCCAAGGTAAATATGCAATAGCCTTTTCTCTTAGCTTTGGCATTTTCTCCATTACTCATGCTTTCTTGATATTAGTGTTTTTATCCAGATTCACTATATTTGATGTTCACTGGATTTATGTCTTCAGGTGGCCGCTGTGTATTTTTTTTCACTGCACTGGATCATGGAAAATAGAAATAATGTCACCTTCTTTATTCTCCTGGGACTTTCTCAAAACAAGAACATTGAAATATTCTGCTTTGTGTTATTTCTATTTTGTTACCTAGCAATTTGGGTGGGAAATGTGCTCATCATGATTTCGATCACATGCACTCAGCTAATTGACCAACCCATGTATTTCTTTCTCAATTACCTCTCCTTCTCTGATCTCTGCTACACCTCCACCGTGACACCCAAACTAATGACTGATTTACTAGCAGAAAGAAAGACTATTTCCTATAACAACTGCATGGTGCAGCTTTTTATCCTCCACTTTCTTGGAGCCATTGAGATCTTCATTCTTACAGCGATGGCCTATGACCGCTATGTGGCCATCTGTAAACCCCTGCACTACACGGTCATCATGAACAGGCAGAGGTGTCACATGATCATCCTCACCTGTTGTGCTGGAGGATTCCTGCACTCAGCCAGTCAGTTTCTTCTCACCATCTTCCTACCCTTCTGCGGCCCCAATGAGATGGATCACTTCTTCTGTGATGTGTACCCTTTGCTGAAGTTGGCTTGCATTGATACCCAAAGAATTGGTCTGTTGGTTATTGTTAATTCGGGACTAATTGCATTAGTGGTGTTTGTGATTCTGATGATGTCTTATTTTCTGATATTTTATACTATCAGGGTTTACCCTGCAGGGAGCCGTTCCAAAGCTCTTTCTACTTGCAGCTCTCACATAACAGTTATGATTGTGTTCTTTGTGCCTGTCCTCTTCGTTTATATTAGACCAAATGTCACCTTTCCAGAGGACAAAGTGTTTGCTCTTTTCTACACCATCATTGCTCCCATGTTCAACCCCCTGATCTACACACTGAGGAATGTGGATATGAAGAATTCCATAAGAAAAATTTGGATTCACCAAATGGTTTTTGGAAAAATACTTCGATCTATGAAAGACATTTCCGAATTCAGTTTCAGGGCTCAGATTTGAATCTGAGCATGGTGGAATAACAGAAAAAAAATCAGGTAAACAGGGAGAACAAACTGTGTTCTACACCACAGCAGAGAGACTGAGTTTAAAATTAATATGTATTTTTGTCAGATTAAAGAAAGCTTAACTTTTTCTTTTGAATTAGCATGTATTAATAGTATGAGAGGGCTTCACTGTGATGCTTCCATTACGAGTATATGGTACATGTTGAATCATTTCACCTCTCTTTTATGCTTCCATTTCCCCTTCTTCCCTTTCTCAAACTATGTTCAGTAGATTTACTTCTGATAGATGACAGACAGAGAGACAGACAGACAGACAGACAGACAGACAGACAGACAGACAGACAGACAGACAGACAGACAGATAGATAGATAGATAGATAGATAGATAGATAGATAGATAGATAGATAGATAGATAGATAGATAGACAGTCAGAAAAACTATCTCAGAAAGAAAAGTGGAGGGTGAGGGGAACTGAAATATTGTCTATTTTAAAAGATCCAGGAGATAGGATTTTGGATTTTCTCATCACAAATGACATTTTCAATGTGACAGATATGTTAATAACTCTAATCTGATCATTACTGTTTGTGTGTGTGTTTTGAATTACCCCAACACATTCCTAATTTTGTATACTTACTATGTATCACTTTATTTTTTTTCCTTTTTCTTGCTGTTTTAATTTAAGAATCTGAACAATTACAGAATCTGAACAACTTTAATAACAATTGCAATTACTCGAAATAATGGTTTTTCTAACTATGTATCACTTTAAAACAAGCATATATGCCAAAAGAAAGAGCCAGCCATAGGTCAGTGTTGTTCGACTTTAATTGGACATCTGATTTAGGCAATGCTGATTTCTTGTTTTTCACGTTTGATCTTATTTTCTTTGATTTTCCAAAAGGATGTTCTTAATTTTCAGAAATTCAAGTAAACACCCATATTGACTTTCTATCAATCAGCCAATGGCAGTCCTGGCCACCAGCCGCCATTGTTCACCAGACAGTTCAATGGAGATGTCCACAAATGATTTCTTATTCAGCTTTTCACTATGGCTTACATTACCTTCCTCAGTGTGTCTGAATTCTTAGTACATAAAGTCCATAAGCAGAGCAACTTTGATTTTTATATCACTATTTGAAATAAACACAAAAATTATGCTAATTTGAAAGAGTATTTCAACGGTGTTGGTGATATGTCAACACGGAACAATTTATAAAGATGAAATATTAATATTAATATCCATATTAATAGGAATGAAAGAATGCAGGAAGGAGGAGTGTTATATGATATCATTTACACAATATTAAAAAATACCTACAATTAATCTATGGTACAACAGAAGGTAGGATAGTGGTTGCTTGTGGAGTTAAGAAGAAAGATGGCGTGGAGGGTAATTCTAAGTATTCTGTGTCTTAATCTGGATACTGTTACATGGAAGTCATTACTGATGATTAGCTATGCAACTTTCTAATTTAAATACAAATATTCACAATAATAGTAGTTGAGGAAATGATAAACTAATGTAGTCTTAAATAAAAATTTTAAGGCTTTGAAAACCTACATTAAAAATAACGGAGAAAAAATTATGAATGTTCCTCCTTATTTGAACACTGAGATTTGAGGATCATGGTTTGAAGACAGCTCAACAGACAAAGGTTTGAGACTGTTGCCTTCAATTAACCAGAATAAACACTGAAAGTAGATCTCTGACTCAAGTGTTAGAGAACTAGTTTTGACTGAGAAAACCAAGTGAGAACTTGAAGCCCTGTGTTTAAGCTTCAGTATTGTCATACACACAAAAAAGGTAAAAACAATTAATTATGACCAGCATAACAGAAAAAGAAAATTCACAGATTATCCAATAGCAAGGAATTGAAGAGAAAAGTTATAGGAAATAAACACGTAAGTAAAAGAAAAGAAATGCTTAAAGTTATTACTTTTCAGTATAAACCATGAACCTATCTTGAAATTTGTTATGCATATAAAATGCCCTATTATTCAAATATAAAGAAAAGAGATCTGAAGACCATTTGTTCCACTTTACATTGCAAAAGAAAGTTAACTGAAACCAACACGGCTACTTATGAAATTTATATACTTCTCAAACTTGAACATTTACTGCAAAGTATTTATATGACTGATTCAGAAATTTTGTTTCAGACATTATTGAAGCATTTTGTAATATATAGCTTATGAAACTCATAGGTTTCTAAATTTTATTACTTCTGAATTTAGGAGCCTTCTAAAATAATGTGTATCATAAAAATCACTGATAGACCTGATTTAAGAAGAGAAATAAAACCAATGAAAAATATACTGAAATTCATAAAGAAAGAGGAGCAAAGCAAAAACACAAAAATAGTGTGAGGAATTTAAGATAGATAAATAGTGCTGAACAATATATGTTTATATATTATATAAATATACATAATATATAAATATATAATATATAATAAATATATATTTATTGGATATTAAAAGATGTAAATAAATATTAATATTTATCATAGATGTTAATAGTTTACTGGTAATTGTTATACTGTTATAAATTCCTTGTTGTTATTATGTGGCTTAATTCTATGCAAATTTTATTTTTCCTAAGTCATTTTCAGATACATACCTCACCTGTGCTTAATATATGTTATGTTGATATGCACAGAGAATTAGAAGAATATCTCTTTCCTCAATCTTATGTTGTAGTTGGATTTTCTTTCTGTCGTTTGAATGAAAATTGATGATTACTTTTGGGACTTTTTTCCTTTGCTGAATGTTGCTTGTACAGAGACTTCCATCACTGGAATTGGCCAGCAGTTCAGGTCAATTCAGGTTATGTCACTTTAGGGATATTTATAGTTCTATTTGTTTTCTATGTCATTATTTTATTCATTTTAACAAATCACTCAGCTGATGGAAGACAAAAGGCCCTCTCCTCCTAAGGGTCTCATATAACTCTGACTATTTGATCTGGGGATCCACAATGTTTTCTTACCTTAGTCCCCACCATCAGGGTGAAGGAGAAAACTTTTCCTCAGATTCATTATTACAAATCACTATCATTTATTATAAGATTATAGTTAGAATTTTTAAGGTAAGTTGTATTTGTCATAATAATAGAGATTGATTATCCCTTAAAAACACTTTTAAGCAATACAAAAGATGAAACAAAAAAAAGTATTCAAAGCCAAAACAGGATGATGTCTAAGTTTTTTTTATCATCAAAGAACCCCTAGACTGACAAGGAGAAGAGTACATTGTTTTTGTGCCAGTACTAGGGCTTGAATTTTCAGGACTTTGTGTTTGTGCTCAGCTTTTTTGCTCACACATGGTATTCTACCAATTGAGTCATGACTCCAGGGAAAGATTTTATTTGCTAATTACTTGAAGGAAAGAATCTTTTTTTAAAATTTATTTATTTATTTTTTATTTGTGAACATACTGTACAGAGGGGTTACAATTACATGGGCAGGATAATGCGTACATTTCTTACCAAGCATTGCAGCCTCCTCCTTTGG